CCCCAAAACCCCAAAACCCCAAAACCCCTCTAGAATAGGTAATGGACTTATTCTAGTTTATAGAAAATTTAATTCACTTCATTTAATAGAGTAGATTGGTTTAATAAATCATAAATTAGCTTTGTATACCTCACTGGCACGAGACTCACTCCTAGAACCATGAGTGCTTGAGCAATTCATCAGCACTCCATCTATCTTTACCTTCATATTTAATCATGTTCGTAATTATGTCTTTGGCACTCTCACTTACTTCACCAGGAATTCTGTGCTAGTACTCAGGATAGTCGATGCATTTACTAAAGTCTGGGAAACAGTACACTCCCTTCATGATTTTCTGATAAAGTTCTTTTTCGTTAGGAGCTCTGAAAGGAGGAATACCATAAAGCATGCGATAGGCTAGGATGCCTATAGCCCAGATATCGGAAGATTTCGGATCATACTCTTACTTTTTGACTATTTCTGGGGCCATGTATGAAGGAGTTCCACAGAACTATTTCTATGGCTTCTCAGTTGTGACACTAAATCCAAAATCAATGATTTTAATTAGGAAAGGATCATTGTTGAGAATTCTGCTCTTATTATCGACCAAGAGAATATTATCTAGTTTGAGGTCTCTATGAGCGATGCCCTTATTGTGCATAAACGAAACTCCTGTCAGTAGCTATCTTATAATAATTTTAACTTCTTCCTCTGGTATGAACCTACCTTCGTAATTTTTCTCTTTTACATACTCATATAAGCTTTTACCTTCAACATGCTCCATCACAAGATTTAAGGACTTCTTTGTATCGATTGATTCATATAATTTTACAATATTTGGATGATCTAATCTCTTCAAAAGAGTGATCTCTCTGGAAACTGATCTTTTTCTCGATGCATTTGATAATATTTTTTCTTTATCATAAATTTTCATGGCTAATCTATCATTAGTCTTTTTGTTAAAAGCTGTATGTACTACTGCATATGCTCCTTCTCCTAGTTTTTTACCTAGAGTATAGTCCTGGATACATATTGATTTAGATCTACTATGAGCTTAGAGGCTTTTATCAGAATTTAAATCTGACTCAGCAAGTAAGGGGGCTAGTTCCTACTTTTATTCAGGTGATTTGAGATTGAATTTTGTTGTAAGATTTTTTCGTGATGTATAGCTTAATTTTCTAGAGGTTGCAGAAGTAGCATAATTCATGATTGTGGCGTTACCTCCTTTTGCATCCATTATTTTCTTTTTTAGTGACTAATTATTGCTCATTATTGTGTTTGCTATCGCTTTTTTACTTGATTACTTTTAACTGATGGTTTTCATCATCTATGGGGAAGTTATCTTGGAGTCAGGAACAGTGCTAGGCCTTGCAGATAAAACCTTATTATTATAGAAATTATTTCTGATCTTGCGTGGCTTATAACCTCGGAGGCTCTTATTTGATTACTGGCCATTTTCAGTATTATAGAAAGTCTACTGATACATATGTGTAGATGGAGTCTATGTTTATAATCTTAGGCCTTCTCTTTCAGCAAGATTAAGATTGTTAGTTATTCTAACATGCTAATTTTTAATCACTTCTGATAAGACTACTAATTTATTCCTAACTTGTTCATTTCCATCTATGTGTACACCTCCAGATCCTGACCTCTTTTTATCATTTATTATATTTGATGATGAAATGCACTTATTTAGTCTTGTATCTAAAGGCTAAATATGATTAATTGTATTTGTAGTTATATATCCAGCAGCACTACATCTCCCCGATTAATTAACGTTAAATATTTGATTCTAATTTCTTGGAGTCCTTTGATAATTAGAAAAAGTTTGAGTTTATTGAATAATGCCTGAATCTTAACCATCAGCAAAAGAGCACATGTGGTTGTTAGCATAAGCTTGAGTATTAAGATAAATTTATGAATTTGTCAGGTTGGACTAGTGTAATCGCTCGCTACTTTAATTTGCCTCCATTAATTAGGTATTCCTCAATTAAGATTACTAGTGCTTATTATTGCTATTAAGATAGTGCTTAAAGTAAGATTTAAATTTTTCCTTTCTATTAAGAGAACCTGGTTTTTGACTATTAAAGTTAGAACATGTTGTTGCTCCACTGCTAGCTATAGTGCTTGACCTAACATTCTATCCGTTTAGCATTGATTCCCGATGAAATGACCTTATCATACTTGATTAAAATTTATTAAGACTGTTGTTACTATTTGCTGATTCGTTTCTTTATCTATTTTAGAGTATCTCCTGTCTTGCTTGCATACTCTCACCAAAAGATGAGAAATTATTCGAACTAGTCTTAGGACGACTCGTTATTGCACCGAGTTAGGACTGCAATCTGAGTTATGAACTAGAACTGCCGAGAGTTAAATTAGATTTAGGAGGGTGATTATCTAGCGTGTTGTTAGAAATGAAAGATGTGTGACCAGCTGGCTTATAGTATCTTTACTAAGGTGACTTTGGTTTAATCTAATAATTGTTTATCTTTGGTGAGAGTGTTTATTGTATAAGAGAAGGGCCTTGAACTTTATCTCTTGTTGTATTTTGTTTCTGAGTGAAAACTCTCTGATTATTTTAGCTAAGTCGAATCATCTCTTTTTATTATCTCATTGGAGATTTGCTAGGAGATGATGTGTCACTTATCACCATAAGATTTTCTTTTTCATTGTGTTTTGAGGGACTTGGCATAGTCTAGAGATGGTTAGTGTTTTCTCCTCTGAGTATCTTAGGCTACAATTTGTGAGATTTTAAATTGCTATTTTTAACCTGGCCCTTTCTGTTCTGCTGATAATGATGATTACTCACAAAAGACGAACCCATTGTGTGATTGAAAGACATTGAAGAATTTATTATGGATGATCTAACTGGTTATCTCATATAAATTGCTGCTTTTTTCACAGAGCCAATCAAATTAGTTCCACCTGAATATTAATGAGCAGATTGCTTTTAGCCAGATCCCGCGGTACGTGGATTTATTCCAAGCTCTGAGTTGTCTGTTTACTTTTGATTGGTAGTAGTCAAGTAAGCTTTATAGCCACTCAAACGTTTAGGCATTGAGGAAGACATAATTTTTAAAGATGTTTCTCCCAGTGATTATTTTTATTTTCAATTTAATCTATTATCTAATTTAACGACTATAATGAATCTGGGGTTTTGGGGTTTTGGGGTTTTGGGGGTTTTGGGG